TGTGCCGCCTCTTCTATGGCTAATCCATCTAGCCTGCACATCCTTGCACATCCAGGAAGTTATCAGCAAAATACTTCTGATATAAATTAGATCTAAATAAGGGTTAAAAGCTATAAATCACAAGGCCCCTCCTATAAAATGATATCCCTATTGGCTAGGCCTAGAAAAGCTGGCTTAGGTTCAAAGAGTAGAATAGCTATATGCTAGAGCATCATCTAATCGAACCTATCAACAGTAGCTGGAGCTCCCCAGTTAGGCTCGTGCCCAAGCTGAATGGCTACACTGGGCTCTGCACTGACTACCAAAGAGCTAATGCAGTGACCAGAGCTGATTCCTACCCAATACTCTAGCTGGATAGGGTAGGTAAAGCAGCCTACATTAGCAAGATATAATTACTTAACAGGCACATTTAGTAGGTTCCCTTGATGACCGACACAAAGGCCTTTGTAACTCCAGGCTGGTTGTGGCAATGTCAAATCACGCCTTTCAGACTCCAATATGTTGTACCATCTTTTAAAGACTAATGAATTAAATAAGAACATAAGAACTAGGAGCAGGCCCTTCGAGCCTGCTCCGCCATTCAATAAGATCATGGCTGATCTTTTCGTGGACTCAGATCCACTTACCCGCGTTCTCACCGTGTCCCTTAATTCCTTTATTGTTCAAAAAAATCTACCTGTTTTTTAAAAACGTTTACTGAACTAGCATCAACTACTTCACTGGGCAAGGAATTCCATAGATTAACAACCCTCTGGGTGAAGAAATTCCTTCTCAATTCAGTCCTAAATCTGCTCCCTCTAATCTTGAGGCTATGCCCTCTTGTCCTAGCTTCATCTGCCAGTGGAAACATCCTCTCTACTTCTATCTTATCTATTCCCTTCATAATTTTATATGTTTCTATAAGATCCCCCCTCAATCTTCTGAATTCCAATGAATATAATCCCAATCTACTCAGTCTCTCCTCATAAGCCAACCCCCTCAACTCCGGAATCAACCTAGTGAACCTCCTTTGCACCCCCTCCAGTGCCAGTACATCCTTTCTCAAGTAAGGAGACCAAAACTGCACACAGTACTCCAGGTGTGGCCTCACCAGCACCTTGTACAGCTGCAACATAACCTCTCTGCTTTTAATTTCAATCCCTTTAGCAATGAAGGACAAAATTCCATTTGCCTTCCTAATTAATTGTTGTACCTGCAGAGCTACCTTCTGTGATTCAGGCACAAGGACACCCAGGTCCCTCTGCATAGTTTTTTCTCATGTTCTATCTTACTTTTCTTTACAGCTCTTTTTGTGGCTTTCTATTGACCTTTAAAGTTTTCCCAATCTTCTAGTTTCATGCTGTTTTTGGCCACTTTGTATGCCGTCTCTTTCAATTTGATAGCCTCCCTTATTTCTTTAGACACCCATGGCAGATTACCCCTTTTCTTATAGTCCTTCCTTTTCATTGGAATATACTTTTGCTGAGCACTTTGAAAGATTGCTTTGAAAGTCCTCCACTGCTTGTCAACTGTCCCACCATAAAATCTTTGTTTCCAGTCTACTTTAGCCAAGTCCTCCCTCATTCTATTGTAGTTCCCCTTGTTCAAGCACAGGACCCTGGTATTGGATTTTATCTTCACACTCTCCATCTGTATTCTAAATTCAACCATACTGTGATCACTCCTTCCAAGGGGATCCCTAACTATGAGGTCATTAATTATTCCTGTCTCATTACACAGGACCAGATCTAGGATAGCTTGCTCCCTCATTGGTTCCATTACATACTGTTCAAGAAAACTATCACGGATATACTCAACAAACTCCTCCTCGAGGTTACCCTGACCGAGCTGGTTCGGCCAATCTACATGTAGGTTAAAATCCCCCATGATAATTGCCGTACCATTTTTACAGGCATTAGTTATTTCTTTGTTTATTGCCCGCCCCAATGTGATGTTATTATTTGGTAGCCTATAGACTACGCCTATCAGTGACTTTTTCCTCTTAGAATTTCTAATTTCCACCGAAATGGATTCAACCTCATTCTCCATAGAACCTATATCATCTCTCAGCACCGCCCTGACGGCGTCCTTGAATATCAGAGCTACACCACCTCCAAATAGTGGCAGTGTAATGTAACTCAATGACATCTTTCTGAGCAACAAACTTGAGAAACACAATTAGAACAATTGGAAGCCCTCTTCCTGAAAATATGCATGTTTCTTTTATCAGCAATACCCTGGAACTACATCCTCCTTCATTTGCTGGCACTGAAATGCAGTTGGGCCTTCAGAGAAGCCATAACAAAAATAATAAAATTAAAATAATAACAATAAGAATACTAATAATTTCATATATTTGATCCTGCTGCTGTTTGTCCTTCAGATGAACAATGGTCCTGATCCCATTTGAAGACTGAATTCCTCTCACCTTTATTTCCTTTTTCTTCAAGTCTATTCTGAAACATTGACATGGTTTCTGCTTCAAGCACCAAATCTAATGATACATTCTACAGCTTAAGTTTGTACATCCCTTCATTCTACACCCCTTAAACACTGGAAACTGTTTGTCTACCTTGTCTCAATCATTCTTAACTTTCACACCCCTTTATCTCATAAACTTTAACTAAAATAGCCCTAAATATTGAAGTCTGGACTTGTATTTCCTTATACCAGACACGAACCCCTTCTAACTGCACTGGACCTTCTCTGTCACCTTGACATCTTATATGCAATTGAATGTTTATCTCTTCTTCCTCACCAAGAAAACGTTAGAGCAAAATCTAACATCTAATATCATTATACATTTTTGGTGGTAGTGGAAGAATGGAGATATTGTATGGAAACTTCTTTCAATCAGGAATAAATGAAGCATTGTAATTAAACTCTCACTAGTCATCAAATATTTCCAAGATTGGTGATTTGTAGTTTATTTAAAAATGAATGCAGCTGCGAAAATCTAATTTCCAAATTACATAGAACATAGAACATTACAGCGCAGTACAGGCCCTTCGGCCCTCGATGTTGCACCGACCTGTGAAACCAATCTGAAGCCCATCTAACCTACACTATTCCATTATCATCCATATGTTTATCCAATGACCATTTAAATGCCCTTAAAGTTGGCGAGTCTACTACCGTTGCAGGCAGGGCATTCCACGCCCTTACTACTCTCTGAGTAAAGAACCTACCACTGACATCTGTTCTATATCTATCACCCCTCAATTTAAAGCTATGTCCCCTTGTGCTAGCCATCACCATCCGAGGAAAAAGGCTCTCGCTGTCCACCCTATCTAATCCTCTGATCATCTTGTATGTCTCTATTAAGTCACCTCTTAACTTTCTTCTCTCTAACAAAAACAGCCTCAAGTCCCTCAGCCTTTCCTCATAAGACCTTCCCTCCATACCAGGCAACATCCTGGTAAATCTCCTCTGCACCCTTTCCAATGCTTCCACATCCTTCCTATAATGCGGCGACCAGAACTGTACGCAATACTCCAAGCGTGGCCACACCAGAGTTTTGTACAGCTGCAACATGACCTCATGGCTCCGAGACTCAATCCCTCTACCAATAAAACCTAACACACCGTACGCCTTCTTAACAACCCTATCAACCTGGGTGGCAACTTTCAGGGATAATAAAATTACCTCTTTCTATGTGAAATAATCCCTGTTTCCTCCAAGTTAAAGAAACAATATATCAGCATAAACAAGTGCCTCTGAATATATATATTCAGTAATTACCAAAAACAAAACAAACATAATTCTGGTATAGAATTGCACCACCATCAGTATACAGGATGAAAAATCATAGTGCGGACAACAAAATACTGCACTTTAAAATCACTCATTAACTGTTCTCTCAAATTTACAAGATAGTTTCAGAGAAAAGTGAATGAACTGGCAGATAATGGGTTCACGTACATCTAGAACTAACAGATTTCAAATTATTTCAGAGATAGTAAGAACTGCAGATGCTGGAGAATCTGAGATAGCAAGGTGTAGAGCTGGATGAACACAGCAGGCCAAGCAGCATCAGAGGAGCAGGAAGGCTGACATTTCGGGCCTAGACCCTTCTTCTTCAGAAGAAGGAATTATAAGGCAAACACTTGGAGAGATGGCGGGAAATGATGATGGCTAAATGTTGTTCATTTATGGCAAAGCGTAAAATGGAGCATTGAAGACTTACTGATTTTAATACCTTCTGGAATTCAGCCTAAAATATATACTGTTTGTTGCAACTACATGTACTGCCAATTGACATGAGAAATGAATTTAATATGTGATGCTTGTTAAGGTTGACTGTACTACTAAAGCTCATAAGAACATAAAAACTAGGAGCAGGAGCAGGAGTAGGCCATCTGGCCCCTCGAGCCTGCCCCGCCATTTAATAAGATCATGGCTGATCTTTTTGAGACTCAGCTCCACTTACCCGCCCACTCACCATAACCCTTAATTCCTTTACTGCTCAAAAATTTATCTAGCCTTGCCTTAAAAACATTCAGCGAGGTAGCTTCAACCGCTTCACTGGGCAGGGAATTCCACAGATTCACAACCCTTTGGGTGAAGAAGTTCCTCCTGACCTCAGTCCTACATCTGCTTCCCTTTATTTTGAGGCAATGCCCTCTAGTCCTAGTTTCACCTGCTCGCGGAAACAACCTCCCTACCTCCACCTTATCTATTCCCTTCATAATCTTATATGTTTCTATAAGATCTCCCCTCATTCTTCTGAATTCCAACGAGTATAATCGCAGTCTACTCAGTCTCTCCTCATAATCCAACCCTCTCAACTCTGGAATCAACCGAGTGAATCTCCTCTGCACCCCCTCCAGTGCTAGTATATCTCTTCTCAAGTAAGGAGACCAAAACAGCACACAGTACTCCAGATGTGGCCTCACCAGGACCCTGTACAGCTGCAGCATAGCCTCCCTGTTTTTAAACTCCATCCCTCGAGCAATGGCAGACAAAATTCCATTTGCCTTTTTAATCACCTGCTGCACCTGCAATCCTACTTTTAGCGAGTAAGTAATTCAATACTTATACAGAAAGACAAAAAAGTAAGATAGGCAATGTACACTGTACTGTTTTTATTAAACTAAAATAACCAAAATTTTAGAAATGTTATTATATATACTTCCAGAGCACTCCTACATCATGTATCCACATAACTGACATTTTACCAACAAAAACAGAAATTGCTCAAAAAACTCAGCAGATCTGGCAGGTGGACAGAAAGCAGAATTTCATTGGAGGCAGGTCAGAGAATGCTCATTAGGATGATCCCTGGTATGGAGGGATTGTCTTAACAGGTTGGGACTCCTGCTAAGACAGTCTAAGACTAGAGGGTATAGTCTCAGTACATACAGGCACCAATTAAAGACTGAGACGAGAAAGAATTTCTTCTCTCAGAGGGTTGAGAGTCTTTGGAACTCCTTGCCACAGAGGGCTGTGGGTGCAGAGTTCTTGTGCAAATTTATGACCGAAATGGATAGATTCTTGGTCAGTAGGGGAATCAGGGGCTATGGCGAAAACACAGGAAAGTGGACACGAGGCATGTCGGATCAGCCACGATCCTAGTGAATGGCGAAGCAGGCTCGAGTAGCCAAACACCTACTCCTGTTCTTTCTTTTATGGTCTTGATGTTTGGGGTCCAGTACCCTTCTTCAGTTCTCTAGAATAATCATTGGACTTGAAACACTCTCCACCGATGCAGCCAGACCTGCTGAGTTTCTCCAGTAATTTCTGCTTTTCTTTTAGATTTCCAGCACCGACAGTCTGTGTTTTTGACATTTTACTAACTTGGCAAATATATGTAAATGTACTTTATGCTGCTGTCTAATTTAGAGAATTAAGATCCTTCTATCTGCATCTTTAAAGAGTACAAAAGTTAGGGTAAAATAATTGTAGAAAGATTTGGGAAAATATTACAGTACAATTCTATGACTTAAATGGTAATAAGACAGAAACAATAGTAAGAATCAAATCTTTGGCATTTATCCTTCAAATACATTTCTAAAACATCTGGGCATGTTGTTTCAAAGCCAAAAACAATATGATACATTGGAGTCATCTGAGCTGGGTAACAATTATTTGAGATGAGTGCAAAGGTCCATCGGCCAAACGCTTCTATTGTGCATTAGGAACTTTAAACCAATCCAGAGTGGAAAACTGCATAACTGATCTTCATCTCACTTGTGAACCAATAATATCCTCAGAAAGTTCTCTGAAATATACCAAATGGAAATAAAACAACACAATGATGTTTTAACATTTCCAAGAAAACAACTAGAAAGTCAATTTGCATTCAACTGAACATCAAATATGTCAAAGAGTTTCTAATTTCCTTAAGATCAAATCTACCAAAGATAAATTGAAGGCATAGAAATTATTTTGCCATTAAGATACTTCTAACTGTGTTACAGGGACTGGGATACTCCATTCTATTAAGTGTCAAATGTTTGGCAATTGGTTTCTAAATTCAATTAGTTATCTGAGATTTTTTTTTGTCTCTGATGGAAGTAGTTTATTACTGAGGCAGGCTTTATTATATTCTGAAGAAGGGTCACTTGACTTGAAGCATTAGCTCTGATTTCTCTCCAAAGATGCTGCCAGACCTGCTGAGCTTTTGCAGCAATTTCTGTTTTTGTTTATTATTTTCTTGTTCTGCATTACTGCACCATTTTTGATCTTATCATTCTGTTACCTTCCCTGCAGGAGTAGGAAATGACTGAAATGAGAATGGATTACAGCTAACAATACTAGCAGAGGAGAAGGAAGTTTCCAACACGTGCATACATCAAACTCCTCACCTCCCTCCAGGTAAGTGTAGAGGCAGCAGAGACCTTTGAAGACCCGTCGCAGGAACAGCACTCTACCTGGAATTCCACGAAAACAATTACTAGGGACCTTTGTGACCTAATACAGAAGAACCTATGGTCACTTTGAATCTGCCTAATATTCTGTTTGCAACAAAATCTCAGAAACAGCTGCAAAGCTATATTTTCAGAAAAATATACTGCAGGGAAGAGGGCTTGAAAATTCTGATAAAGGGGCTTGCTCATATGTGCATAATTAAAACAACAGACAAACATGGTAACCTAGAAATCCGACAAAAGCTGGTTTCAAAACGGTTTCAAAATAGCTGATGCCTGACAAAGAATACTCTCTCATTTTGATCAACATTCCTTACACATTATCATATGTAACAAACATAAGAAAACCTATTAACAGAAATAGAAACTGGGATGGGAACCTTCCATACTAATGTCTGAATTGTTTTTGACACGACATAATTGTTTTTCCACTTAGGAGCAGATTTTTTTTCAGCAGTCTTCTAATGCAACAAAGATGTTCGTGTTGGGAATATGTTATTTATCATGATTCCCATTAATATTGTCCCCATTCCAAAGAACTAAATGTATGACTGTGTAAATGACATAATGTAGCTGTGATGATCAGGTGATACTGGAGGGAATTGTAAGTTTACTGTTTAGATGACTTCTGCCTGTTTTAGGTTTGCATATTCTTTTGATTTTCCGTTTCTTGGGCATTAACTGAGATAGACTTTAAATTATCATAATGATTAACAGCGCTAGTTCCCTCCAAATCTTCAAACCCAATCCACAGTACCAGATATAACTTGACATAGGTTTCCATAAGAAATTGCTATGCATACTATGTTAATGAAAGGTGAGAACCTGAAGGGAGTAAGGGAGTTCTGCATACAAACCTAGGTCACATGTCTGAATATCTATTCTACTGCAAGTCAAAGTGAGAACAGCTCTTAAAATGGAAGAAGCTAGTAACATAAATGTTTCAACAGAAAACCAGAATCCAAAAAATAATAGAGTGGCCAGCAGACATTTCAAAAGGGTAGGCCATGCTTAACTAAATGCATTGAACTCTTTGCAGAAGTAACAGATAAGGAGACAAGATAATGATATGGATGTAGCATGTATAGACTTTCAAAATCCATTATTAGTCACATGGTAGACTCACGACTACCCTTCAGTGTAAATCAAGTCATTAAAGAAACTGTTAATTATGCAGATTTCTAACCTTGAAAAATTATCAAGGTCATAAAAATACAAATAAAGCCCTGGATTCATTTCTAAAGGACTACAACTGAAAAGCAGGAAATGCTGTTAAACAGGTCCATAAATCTTACAAAAAGGGTAAGGATCACACCTTGTTTAAAAGTAGATGTGTCAGAAGGCTTTGAAAAGGACCCTCATAATAGATTAGTGGGCAAGAGTGGGCATTAGTGGAGAGAGTATCGAATAGGGGTAATACATCAGCGCAAATGGATAACTGGTGGACAGACAGGAAACAGAGTGTGAGAATAAACAGAGATAACAAGGTGTAGAGCTGGATGAACACAGCAGGCCAAGCAGCATCAGAGGAGCAGGAAAGCTGACGTTTCGAGCCTAGACCCTTCTTCAGAAATTCAGCTCTACACCTTGTTATCTCAGATTCTCCAGCATCTGCAGATCCTACTATCTGTGTGAGAATAAACAGGTCTTTTTTTGACTGGCAGGCAGTGACTACTGGGTTACCATGAGGATCTTAGGCCCCAGCTATATATGATATATATAAATGACACGGGTGAGGGAACCAAATGTGGTATTTCCAAGTTTGCTGATGACACAGAACTGGACAGGATTGTGAGTTGTGAAGAGGATGCAAAGAGGCTTCAAGGTGATTTAGACAAGTTGAATGAGTGGGCGTACACATGCTAGATAGAGTGAGATAAAGGTAAAGCTGTCACAGTTCTGTTGGACCATAACACTGTTCTCTCTTCATAGAGAAATGTTACAACATTGGTAGCCACACGGCAATGTGGAAAATTGCCCAAACATGTCCTGCACATAAAAAGTAGGACAAATCCAACCCGGCCAATGACCATCCCATCAGTCTACTTTTGATCATCAGTAAAATGATGGAAGGTGTCATCAACAGTGCTATTGAGTAGCACCTGCTCAGAAATAACCTGCTCAGTGATGCCCAGTTTGGGTTCCGCCAGGGTCACTCATCTCCTGAGCTCATTACAGCCTTGGTTCAAACATGGACAAAAGAACTGAATTCCAAAGGTGAGGTGAGAATGACAGCCCTTGACATCAAGGCTGTATTCAACCGAGTGTGGCATCAAGAAATCAATGAGTATCAGGGGGCAAACTCTCCAGTGGTTGGAGTCATACCTGACACATAGGAAGATGATTGTGGTTGTGAGAGGTCAGTCATCTCAGCTCCAGGACATCTCTGTAGGAGTTCCTCAGGGTAGTATCCAAGGTCCAACCACCTTCAGCTGCCTCATCAATGACCTTCCCTCCACCATAAGGTCAGTGGTGGGATGTTCGCTGATGATTGCACAATGTTCAGCACCATTTGTGACTCCTCAAATATTGAAGCAGTCCATGTTCAAATGCAACAAGATCTGGACAATATCCAGGCTTGGGCTGGCAAGTGGCAAGTAACATTCACACCACACAAACGCCAGGTTATGACCATCACCAATAAGAGACAATCTAACAACCGTCCCTTGACATTCAATGGTGTTGCCATCACTGAATCCCCCACTATCAATATCCTGGGGGTTACCATTGACCAGGAGCTCAACTGGACTCACCACATTAACAGCGTGGCTACAAGAGCAGGTCAGAAGCTAGGAACACTGCAGTGAATAACTCATTTCCTGACTCCCCAAAGCCTTTCCACCATGTACAAGGCAAAAGTCAGAAGTGTGATGGAATACTCCCCACTTGACTGGATGATTGCAGCCTCAACAACACTCAAGAAGCTTGACACCATTGAGGAAAAAGCAGGCCGCTTGACTGGCATTACATCCACAAGCATCCACTCCCTCCACCATCGAGTCTCAGTAGCAGCGGTGCGTACTATCTAAAAGATGCACTGCAGAAATTCACCAAAGATCCTCAAACAGCACCTTCCAAACCCACAACCACTTCCATCTAGAAGGACAAGGGCTGCAGATATATGGGAATAGCACCACCTTCAAGTTCCCCTCCGACCCACTCACTATCCTGACTTGGAAATATATTGGCAATCCTTCACTGTCGCTGGGTCAAAATCCTGCAGTTCCCTCCCAAATGGCCAACCCACAGCACATCAGTGCAAAAGATAAAGCTGAAGCTTTCGCAGCAATCTTCAGCCAGAAGTGCCAGGTGGATGATCCATCTCGGCCTCTTCCAGTGGTCCTCAGCATTACAGATACCAGTCTTCAGCCAATTCAATTCACTGCACGTGATATTTAGGAAATGTTGGAGATACTGGATACTGCAAAGGCTAAGTGCCCCGACAACATTCCAGTAATAGTACTGAAGACTTGTGGACTGCAACAGTTCATGAAGACAGCTCACCACCACCTTCTCAAGGGCAACTGGAAGGGAACAATAAATACCGGCCAGCCAGTGACACCCACATCCCACAAATGATTTTTTTAAAAAGTTACCATATGGAGTACTAATGATATTTCATAAAATGCATTTAAGAGGAAGCAGATAAGTGAGAAAAAAAAAGGACACATTGATAGAGTGAAATGAGAGAAGACTTGTGTGGAGCTTACACACATGCCATAGACCAAATGGGTCAATGACTTCTTTTTGTGCTGTATTTCAATCTATGTACTTCAAAGTAAATTCAATCTTCCTAAAACTGAAATAATGCCAACTGAACAAGTAAAGTAACAATAAAAAGGTAGAAATATTGTAGCATATCCCAAGGATACTTGAAAACAACCATGTGAGCAGGAAATGAAAACAAAGAGAATACAATTGAACCAATTACATTTTATCCATTTGTACGAACCCTGGTTAAGAAACCCAAAAGAGGCAAATCAGGTGCACAGCAAATTCAGAGGTAGGCAGGTTAGAGTGAGTGATATGAGCAGAGAAATTAAGATGGCTGATATCACATCAACAGTTCTCAATGAAAAAGTCAGGAGTGAACAAGAGGACAGAGAGAAGGGTTCAGGTGGGAAGTACTGGAGGCAGGTAGAATGATCCACTGATTGTGAGGGCATTTCTGGCCAAAAAAGGTTCAGAAGTTGTCATATTTGACTCGAAATGTTAATTCTGTTTCACTCTTCACAGATGCCAGGCAATCTGCTGAATATTTTCAGCACTTAGTTTTTATTTCAGGTTCAGCATTTACAGAATTTTATTTTAACTTTAAATCAGGTGCATGTCTAATGGCCAACTTGGTTCACTGGTTCTTGGATAAGTCCCAACTCCCTTATCTGTTACACGATGCTGGAATAACCCTAACTCAACTCCAGTTGATCATTCAGTACAAACTCTAGGAAACCCTTTGTATAGTGACACTGCATGTTTCAGATAGTTAATTCCATTATTTACTCCAGCACACAATTCAGGAACCCCAAAAGCTAGTACTTTCTCAATTTGCTTTGAAACAAATAGCAACAGAAAAATACGCATGCATATTTGTGGGAATGGTCCATCAATCGACGAAGAAGTTTCCTGATATTTTCCAATAATATATCTAACGTTTCTCCACACATAGCAGAGTAAGAGAAAAAACGTAGTTAAAAAAACTAAATCTAAACTTGCTTCAGAACTGCAACTATTCTTAGGCATGTCTCTAATACAATTAAAAATGGTATTGCTATAAAAATTTCTCAGTAGGAATTAAAGAAGATACAAATCTAATCATTTTGTTCCCTTGTTTTAAAATGCCTGAAATAAAATCAAAATTATTCTTCTTTTAAAACTGGCATCAACGGTAATTCTATAACGCTAGTGGAGCATGTGTCCTCATGTTACTTTTGCATTGTTCCATGTCAAAATTTAATTTTAAGAAGATAAACAAAGCTCTACACATTATATAAATGCATAAATGTAGAGAGAATGGAGAGTAAATACAAAGAGTAATACCTGTACCAGATTGATTTGTATTTTATGACTGAACTGTTTAAAATTAACTCAATTTAGAAGATTGAATCATGCAATAAAATATCCATTCATCTTTGGCAGACAGGTTGAAACCAAGCCCAGACTAACTTTCTTTTATTTCTTTTATCTGCTGTTTGAAGTCAAATTGTTTTGAGCCATTCCAGTAAAACTGATACAAATTCACTACACAAAATTTTCCCAAGGATTTAAACAGATATGCCATATGAATAGCGGATACAGGAAACCAAAATGCCATACTGCTTTGGTAGATGTTAGTTTTCAGATTTGAGAGCTAATCATATTCCTAGGATAGAATAAATGATATTATATCTGGCTTATCACAAATGTACGATGTTGAAAGATTTCACATCTCCATGCAATCGGCATGGACAGAAAACTCTCTCAATAATAAAAGTTTCAAAAATACTACTAACATGAATAACCTATGATGCATAAGATAGTGACAAAGCATTATGTTGTATCCAACAAGTGGTGTACAAAGTGACAGGTGGAGGATTTATACATTTACTTACATTAGGTAAGTTCATGAATATAGCTATGGAGAGCCAGAAAATACCTTTTTTTCCAAGAAAAAAGATCATACAATAAAAGGGCTATTATTGGTCTTGACCCAGTTTGGAATCAGATAATGGCACAAATTTTCCAAGAGGAGGCAATGGCCTAGTGGTATTATTGTTGGACTGTTAATCCAAAGACCTGGATAATGTTTTGGGGACTGGGTTCAAATCCTGCCACGGCGGATGGTGGAATTTGAATTCAATAAAAATATCTGGAATTAAGAATCTAATGATGATCGTGTTGGGAAAAACCCAGCTGGTTCACTGATGCCGTTTAGGGAAGGAAATTGCCACCCTTACCTGGTCTGGCCTACAGACCCACAGTAACATGGTTGACTCTGAACTGCCTTCTGGGATGGGCATTAAATGCTGCCGAGCCAGTGACATTCTCATCCCATTAATGAATTTTTTTTTAAAAATCTCTGCATCATTTGAGACCAGACCAAGATACATGTCAGGATCCCATCAGAATCCTCTGTGAGAATTGTCCAAGAAGTTTCAACTTCTGACAGGCAATTGTCCTTCTCCCCAGGACTTTCTGCAAAGGTCTCCAACTCTGAAGTATGTCAGAAACTTCAGATGATTCTGCAGTTATTACCTGAATAGTTACTAAGAAAATGTTAAGACAGATTAAAATCTAGACTAACTCCTGGACAACTACAGAGCAGACACTCCAGTTACTCACCCATGCTCCCAACTCCCCCCTCGGCCCTCACTCCATCAAGCCAGCCACCTCCACCAATCACTTGACCATGCGCCATCCCCACACTAACCCCTGATCACCCAATTAACTCACTTACCGGAACTGACTACATCTGCCCCATGATTTCTCCCCCAACCCTATCTTGAATGCTCTTTCATCCCAACTACCTCCCATCACCTGAGTACCAAACACAGCCCAATTATCTGCAACTGACCTGTGCTGATTATCCCCAAACCAATGTACCCAGCTCATCAATCTGCCACTCTATCTACCAGCCAGCCTCCAATTTAAATCACACACATACCTATTCTTGTAATTACCCATTCACTAAAATTCACAGCAGACCATTAAACTTAGCTTACAGTAGCTCCTGCTGTACAAAGGGAATGTGTCCTTTCCTCCCCAGCACTACAACTCTGAGAAGGAACTCTTCAATGGACACTGCAATTACAATTTCTGGAAAAGCCATGCTCAGAAGACTTGGCAAGAAATTCCAGCGTTGCAGCGTGAAAGTTCAAGGCGAGTGGAAGATCCTGGCCTATATACTTAGCTTTCTGTTGAAGAATTAATTACTTCTGATCTAAAGTGGAAATATTATAATTGGTAGGACTGGTTAATACCCTATTCAGTTTGTAACATCTAAATGTTGAAATATGAATAATACTGATTTTCAAGATTCTAATTTTAGGTCTTTAATTTTAGTTTTACATATTCCAGAAATAAACTCTTTGATTGGATCTGCTGAGAATTTGTTAGGTATTGTTACTGTTAGCTTTACCATTGTGAATACTGACCTGCTTTTGCAGTGAGATACACTGACACAGTATATGTTGGCTGTAGCTTCTATACTGACAACAGGAGATTTTCATGGGAACACAGCAAATTGGATATATATATATATATAAATTATCCTTATGATATGCTAACAGGGAATTGTCCTTTGAAAATGTAAATAAATGTGGATAAGAAGATGATGACAAGTGGGTGCACACTGTGTGTAGCCTGATCTCCATTAGTCTTGGATTACTTCATGTTGAGAGCCTAAAATTCAAATCTCACACATACACAACAGAAACAAACCTGAAACAAGACCTACCCATCAAATAAGTAAAAACAAAATGACTCCAAAATAGCCAAAAAATCCCACTAAAGAACTTCTTAAATACACTTCCATAAACAATACACCTTTGCATTCTGGAGGCACCCATTTTGTGGGGCTAAAAGCCGACACTGTGTTTTACCGACATAAACACCAGAAATGATATTAATCATTTAAACTAAATAATTTGGCATAATTTTCATATAATTACTGCAAACAGGCAGACTCTGCAGGAGTCAACACTAATCCTGGCTAAATATTTAGAAGGATTACTTAACAGAGTAAATCCACTGTGAGGACATCTGCCCTCATATAGTGCTGATCCCATGAGTGGGCGAAACTAAGGACAAGTTTTCCAGTCCATTATTAGGATACAGTTAAGAGTTGCAGGCCATCATAAGCAGTAGCAGGATCACAGCACATTGTTTACCATTCTATCTTCATTCAGCCTAGAGACAATATCTGGTTCAATGTGGAGTCAAGTACAGTCAAGAGCTGCACGAAACATATTGCAAAAAAGATACCTAATCAGTCGTCACATAACCAACAGATCTTGTCAATAGTTCTTGTCCAATCAGAACCAACTGAGAATAGAGAAGAAGAATCAGGCAGTTTGCAGGAGGCAGAACTGCTACGAATAGAGCCCAGAATAAGGATGCAAGAGACAATACTGAAATATCAATAGCTAAAAGTTCCAATATTAGACAATTCTATTCAGCTTCCTTCAAGGTTCTCACCAACACAGATGCTGGGGTTAATCAATTCCATGCACTTATTGTAAAATTTAAAAGTTAAATAAACTATACATAATGAAAGGTATGGTCTTCATAACACAGGTCGCAAAGCTGAAGAAATATGAATCAATCTAATTGACAGTCCACTCCATCCTCATTCAAGCCACTGTCCTCTTAGCTGGTCTACTGCAGTTATGTTCCTGATACCTACACCAGAAATTTTTGATTCAGTACAAATTTAACCAGACCATATTCCAAATTCCATAATCAATAAAGTATCTAAAGGATTCAACAATAGTGCCATCTAGTGGCACCTTCGACTACTAATGGTGAATTTTTAGCTTGACTAGAATGATTCAGCTTCAATGTTTGCCACAGGCTTAAATCGAACTATGACATGAAAGCAGAGCAGAAAAGGAAAAATAAAACTACTAGCACTTAGTGGGGTATCTGTCCCACAACAACATTCAATCTTATAAGATACAGCAATTTCTTCCCTTGACATTCATGTCACCATACAAAATATCCACTATCCTCCTCCACTATTGCACAATGGTTTCAGCTTCTTTGTTACAGGATGCACCACAGCAACGTACTGATTGATCCTACTTCAACAGCACTTCTCAGACTTGTGTTTCTTATGTGAACGACAACAATGGCAATGATGCGACAACACCATAAACTCCATGTCCTCCAGCAGTATCCAACATTTTCTTTCATCATTGCTGGGTCCACATCCTGGAATTACCTATCGCATACCATAATGGAAGCTCCATCAATGCAAGAACTGCAATGATTCAAACAGGAAGTCTACAATTGCTTTCTCAGGTCAACTAAAGATTATATATAATGGTTAGTCCATAATTGGTCTTGTTACTATAAATTAGCTTCCCTTCTGTTACTTTCTACATGATATAAACACCCTTGTACTATAAAACAGCATATTCACTAACTCTCTCAGAGAAGTACATGGGATACTACTTGTTTTTTTATTAATAGATGTCTTATTTTGTTGTACGATCCTAAAAATCTCCAGCAACATGCAAAGTGATTTTGTTATAAACAGAGCATAATGATTTTAAATTGTGGCATAAATTAAAGTAAATTAAACAATTTGTGTTAATTCCCAGATTAAACACATCCAGCAGTATTGAAGTCAATCAAATACTTGGGTCATACCATTTGAAAATGAATAACAGAATTCAATTGAAATAAGTTGTCTCTCAGAATAAAAGGTTGCCGTCTAGTGGAAATTTAACTGAATTGTAATTTTCACTCAGTTTTTGACATGAATTCGCTCCTTAACATGTTCGCTACTAAAACTGAATAATCAAAAGACAAGGATCTAGCTCTGCTTAAGAATTCTATCGAGCATTTACATTCTCAAAATATTCAGGGATACTCTAGAAGATTTCAGTTAGAGGAATATTGATGTCTCATTATATCTAATCATTATATCTAGTCTTTAGTTGACTAGGAAATCAATTGTAGACTTCCTTCTTGAACAATTGCAGTACTTGCATTGATGATGCTTCCAAATTCAGGAGTGAATTCATTCAGAGATAGTAAGAACTGCCGTTGCTGGAGTCAGAGATAACACAGTGTGGAGCT